TTTGTTGGGGGGTAAATATTGTCTTTATTCCTCTTGATTTCAGAATTTTGTCGATTTTGTCAGTGACACCTTTGATGTAAGGAAGAAAAGCTTTCGTATGATGAGGGTCTCAGCCTTTGGGTTGAGATTAAGTGGGAGATTGATGTCTGTGGATGCTCCTATTGATGTGATTTTCGCGGTAAGCGTTTTGGATGAAAGCTTATTTTAAACTAGAAAGGTCAGCGGGTCTACTTGATTCATCGCAAAGTCGTACTGATCTGGTGATAAGCGTATTAATATATATATATATATATATATATATATATATATAATATATACATATATATATATATATATATATATATATATATATATATATATATATATATATATATATATATATATATATATATATATATATATAGCGAGTGTTTGCAACTTTAATTTTGTCGCTTCTCGCATCCCAATCGCCATAATTTCTTATCGGCCCAGTCTCCTTCTTGAAGACCTCTATTTTCCATTTCTATATGAATATTGGATATCCATTTCTTTCTTGGCCTTCCCCTTTTATTTCTCTGTGTAGGTCTCCAGTTCCAAACCTTTCGTGGTATCCTTTCTTCGTTCATCCGTCTCAGGTGTCCATACCATTTTAATTGTTTTTCAGCTATCGTATCCATTATTGTGTTCTTTACTTTCATTCTCTCTCTTATGTTTTCATTTCTTATGTGGTCAAACAAAGTTAACCCGGAACATCTTCTCCAGTACATCATTTCCGTTGAGAAGAGTTTTTGTGACATATTCTTGTTAAAGACCCACACTTCTGACCCATACGTCAGCACTTACTGAATCATAGCCTGATATATAATTTTGTTTGTTTTCTTAGTTAAAGTTTTATTCCACAGGATCGGATGTAGTGTTTTTATCATGTTCTTTCCTTTTCCTATTTTTCTTATTATATCTTTGTCGTCTCTCCCGTCTTCGCTTAGTGTAACTCCGAGATATTCGTACTGATCAACGTTTTTAATTAATCCGCTTTCTGTTTCCATGTCTTGACCGATGCCTCCTATATTCATGTATTGTGTCTTTTCGGTATTAACATCTAATCCCCATTTTTTGAATTCGTCTATTAGTTTGTTTATCATGTACGTCATATCTTGTAGGTCCTCGGCAAGAACTACCTGGTCGTCTGCGAAGAGGATTGTGTATATAGGAGTGTCTTTTACCCATATGCCCATTGGGCTGCATTTTCTCATCCAATATTTTAAAGCATTACCAAGATATATTTTAAATAGGGTTGGGGAGAGGCAAGAGCCCTGTTTGACACCCTTTGTTTGGGTGAAACCCTTGGAAATTTGGTTTCCAACCTTAATATAAACTTGGTTATCTTGATATAGCTTTTTCACGGCATTTATATATACTGCATTTATACCTGCGTTTTCCAATGTTGTCCATAGTCTCTGCAGTGGTACGGAGTCAAAAGCTTTACGGAGATCTATAAAAGTGGCATGAAGTTCTAGTCCTCTTGCTAATCTCTTTTCTATTAGATGTTTGAGAGTAAATACATTGTCGACACAAGATCTCCCTGGTCGGAATCCACTTTGTTCTTCGATCTCTGTGGCTTCTTTTTCTATTCTGGCTTTCAGAACTCTTTCATACAGTTTGCCAGTGGATGACGTGATGCTGATACCTCGGTAATTACTGCAGTCATTCCTGTTTCCCTTTTTGTAGATGGAGTTTATGTACGAGACTTTCCAATCTCTTGGGATACTTTCTCCTTGTAGGCACTTGTTAAACATTTTACAAAGCAATTCTAATGTTATTGCAGTGGCATGTTTGAATAACTCGATAGGTAAATCACCCGGCCCAGGAGCTTTATTATTTTTCATTTTTTGTAATGCGTTTTTTATTTCTTCTACGGTAATCATCGCCACTTCATTTAACCCCGTTTCAACTATATCTATATGTGTGTCTAGAAACTGTGTACGTTGTTCATTTAATAGATTTTCGTAATAATTTTTCCATCTTTCTATGTCTATGGGGTTTATTTTTTTTGTTTCGTTTGTATTTTTTCTAACACTGTTGATAGTTTTCCAAGCTTGTCTGGACCTAGATCCTCCTACCATTGAGCTTATTTCTGCACACTTGTTGTCCCAGGTTATGTTTTTTATTTTTTTAATTTCCTTTTTTACTATATATTTGTATCTGTTATAGTTCTTTCGGTCTTCCTCATCTTTTGTCGCTAACCATTTGAGATACAGTTTTTTCTTTTCTTCTACCAGTTCTAATAAACCTTCTGTCCACCAATAATTTCTACGTTTTACTTTTTCTTTCGTAGCTAGAGCTTCTAATGCTGCTTCATGAATTTTGATTTTCAAAGTCTCATACATTTCTTCCGCTGTTCCGTTTATTTCTTCGTCTAATTTTTGTGCCAAACGTAGTTTATAGAGAAAACTTGTGAACTCATTTTTTAAGCTGTCTATGTTATAGAGCCGTATGGATTCTTTGTTTGTCTGTTCTTGGGATTTATGTTGTTTAGTATATCTTATTTCCACGGGTGCCTTTACTAGTAGGTGATCCGATCCACATTCTGCCCATTCCAAACTTTTACATCGTAGGGTCTTAAAGATGTCTCTTGTTTAACTACTATATAGTCTATAATTAACTGCAGTTTTCTTGTCTTTTGAGTCCATGTATATTTATTTATGTCTCTATGTTTGTAAAATCCATTCAGTATTTTTAACGAATGTTGTTCGCATTCCTCCAACCATCTTGTTCCGTTCTCATTTACTACATCTTCTCCGTGTTGTCCAATTATTTTGTTGTCAAGAGCTTTACCTACTCTTCCGTTCAGGTCCCCTAGCAACACTATTTCTTATCTTTTTTTTATTTTATTTAACTCTTCTGAGAGTTTGTCGAAGAACATGTCTTTAGTGTTTGTATCTGAGTCGTCCGTGGGTGCATAGATGCCAATTATTTTTATGTCTCTCCCCTTTGTTGTAAGGTCTACTGTTATAATTCTTTCGTCTATCGGGTTCCAGTTGGTAATACATTTTTCCATGTTTTTTCTTATCACGACCGCTACTCCAGCTTTGGCTCTTTTTGATTTTTCTACTCCGCTCCAGAAGTATATATAGTCGTCTTTGTAGTGGTTCCCCTGTCCTTTCTTTTTTGTTTCGCTGAGTACTGCGATGTCAATTCGGTATGTACTGAGTTCCTTAAATACTTGATCTTCTTTTGTATTCAGTCCTTGTATGTTCCAACATCCAAAATTCGTTAGCCTTTTTCTTTGCCTATGTCGTTTTCCTTTGAAGCCATCCGAGTTCCGAGGCTGTTCCTTGGGATTTTTAGCAATATTTCTTTTACGCAGGGCGGGGAGCTAACCTACCGCTGTAACCCTCCTCCTTCATCCGGGCTTGGGACCGGCACTGGCATTTACTGAGCTACTCAATCCACCCAGTATCTACCAGAGGCGGAGTCTAAGCGTATTAATAACTGAATTAATTTGTGAAGGGGGATGATTAGAGTTACCTAGCACGCAAGTTCGATTGGTACGGGCGGGTTTTCGATAAATAGAGTGATGAAAATCTTGTGATTACTTTTTCTTTATGATAACTTCGAGAAACGGTAGAGATGAATCAGTTTCCACCTCCGTCGTGAACTGGATACTTCGATGTATACCATTCAAATAGGTTTGAAAAAAATTCATCCATGAGATTTAGATCAGGCTGCAGGGTGGCGAGTTTATGGTTTGTATTCCAACCTCGTCCAAATAATCACAGACCACATGTGCAGCATGTGATCGAGCATTATCATACATTAAAAGTAAATTATTTTCTATGTAAAGAACAAGTGGAACTACATGATTAAACAAAATGTCAGGAATATACCTTACAATTGTTAAGGAATCGTTTCATAAAACAACAAGGTCTGTTCGCGCTGTAAGAGATATTCCTTCCCAAACCATTAAATATCCTCCATTGAATAAAGAAAGGCAAAGCAGCAGAACAATTTTTTTAATTGAAAACTGTGTCAGTCTAAAACTGTGGTGTCACATTGTTTGATTTTCATAGACAACTAACTGCTTCCACTAATGAGTATTACAATCCAATAAAATCAGATTATGCTTTGAACGTACTTTTCTTTTTTGATAATACAGATATCCAGATGACTTTTTTACGGAAATGTAAAAAAAGATAAAGCTATGTCGCAATAATAATAAGACGTAGCGTTTGTTTCTAACTAAATGAAAAAACACAACTTTTATTTACACCCTGTATATGGGTAAAATGTTGAAGCATTAATACAGTAATTAAAGAAATTCAGTCAAGGATTAAAAAGAAAAATATATTAAAAATGGTGGTACAATTAAGTTAGTTCGTTAATTTTGGATTGTAGAAAATGAGTTACTTAATGCTTTGAACGAAGGCTTAAGGTGTTGCAAATTGAATTACAATTGTAAATTGGTATTGTTTAAAGTGAATATTTTTACTATTAGAGATGAAACATGAAATTATATAACAACTACGGTTATCTTAATCAAAAATATTTATGTATACTAAAAATTAACACGCATTTAAAAACTTATAAATAAAACTACTGAGTTATTGGCCATATAAACATAGTAATTTGAATATATAAAAATAGTCATTAATCGTTCATAAAATTCCTAATTTTTTAAGTTTTTTGTTTTGTTTCTGTAGCTAGGGTACACAAAATTATCTTTCGGTTTCTTGTTATTTGTATGCACAAGTGCCAATATGATAGGCCTCCGACACAAAATTGATATCTTATTCCAATTTTTGATTTAGTTATATTGAATGTTTTATCTTAATATTTCGGATTTTTGTAAAAGTGGAAAATCACTAGTAACCGGCCAACAACTGTTACCGTTACCCTACTTTTCTTTTTTGATAATAAAGACATCGGGATTTTTTTACAAAAATGTTGAGAAGGGACGTGGATGTAGAATAAATAATAAAAAATATATCTGTTTAACTGTTCTAAATGTCAATGTTTTCTAGGTGCGACTGCAATAGACGCCATATGTAGCGGCTTCCGAACAATATTATTAGACGACTGTTGTCGAGGAGTAGACCTTTTGGATATCGAAAAAACCAAAAATACGATGATGAAGAACCACGGCGTCGTAGTTAGTTCAGACAGAGTAAGAAACATGGTTGAAGGTAACGATAGACGACCAGAGTTAGGTTATAAATTAGCGCTAAATTTAAGAGAACAAAAGAAAGAAAGTCAGTCATCTTAATCTTGTTTATGTTTGAAGTGTATGTGCTAGTGTACTTAATGTATATTGCGTATTATTTTAGTTAGGCATTATTGAATAGACTAGCTTATGTTTTTGTAAAATTAATAGAATAAGAATTAAGAAATAGATTGCAAATTTTTTATAGTTTGGAATGTAATACTTTTATAGTACTTAATAAATACATTGTAAACGATTGTTAAACTACATAAATATATTAAACTCAACTTATAAATTATACATTGAAGTTAAATTTTAGTAATAATTGTTTTATTTAAATTAAAATTAAAGGCAATCAATATAAACGGGGCATCAAAGGACTCGACGGAATTCCGGAACGTAATAAAATCTTACTATGAAGTAAAAAAATTCTTTTGTAAAATGGAATAAATTTATTAAACATTTTAAAATTATCCAAAATGGACTTATAAAGTTTCAGAACGTTTTCAGTTCTATACCATTTTACACAATAAGAGTCTTCAAGACTTTTCCTTCAAAAATCATCCCACAACAGACAGAGAGTCTGTTTGGAAAGAGAGAGTTTAATGGCCAGTAATGAAAGCAAAGGGAACTGTTACGATATGTGGGGAGTTTACGTTAAATCAATACATAGTAATTGATGAATACCTTTTGCCCAAAATCGATGAGTTATTTTCTTGGCGGGTGGTGAAAATTTCACAAAAATTGATTTGAACAGGCTTGTTTACAAATGGAAGTAAGAAAAGAGGATGAAAAACATTTGACACTCCAAAAGGACTTTTCCAAACTAAACAGTTAATAAATGGGCTAGCCAGTGCTCCGACAATTTGGCAAAGAAAGAATGAAAACTTACTTAAAGACATACAGGGTGTATTTTTGGACATTAGGATTACGGGACCACATGACAATAAATACCTTCAGAGGTTGGAACTAGTCCTGAGCAGACTACAAAAACATATATTATATATAAATTTTGAAAAATGTCAGGTTTTAACTAATTTAATTGAGTATTATGGCTACACAATTGATAAAGCCGATATACACATAACTAAAGATAAAGTGGACACAAGAGCACCAAAAAATAAAAGGGAAGTTACAGTTTTTGTTGGTCTATTGAACTATTATAAGCATTTTTTAAAGAATATAAGTCACATCTTGTATTCAATATATAATCTACTTAAAGATGGTGTAACGTTTAGACGGAATAAGGATTTTCAATAAGCATTTGACAGGAGAAAAGGAATTTTCACTCTCTTTGAAGCTCATTTTGACCCCACTTTACGACTAGTTTTAGTTATACATGCCAGTCCATATATAATAAGTGTAGTACTTTCTCACATATAGGTATACTCCGATGGAACTGAAGTTATATTAAATTTACATTACAAATGTTTAGCAAGATAGGTACCTACAACAAAAATATACGAAAATTGACAAAGAGGCTTACACTATAATTTATGGAGTAAAAAATTCTACTATTACTTCAGTTTGGTAGAACTTTTACTATTACTAGTTGATAACCAACCATTCATACAAATCTTGTCACTCTAAAAAAAGTTTGCATACAGTTACAACGACAAGAATGCAATACTGTGCTGTATTTTTGCAAAGTTTTCAATACAAAATAAAATACAAAAATACTAAAACACATTTAAATGCAGATTCTTTGTCAAGATTACGAATTGTAAAATGGAATAAATTTATTAAACATTTTAAAATTATCCAAAATGGACTTATAAAGTTTCAGAACGTTTTCAGTTCTATACCATTTTACACAAGAAGTTTTAATTCATATGTAGTCAGTTTTTTAAAACTATGGCATACAGCCAGCCACAGATTTTCTTTTGACGTATTAATCCCAAATTCAAGTCTATAAGATTCTTATTTTAAACAAGATGAGCTTATGTAAAAAGTTCCACTATTCAAGAGTCTTCAAGACTTTTCCTTCAAAAATTATCTCACAACAGACAGAGAGTCTGTTTGGTAAGAGAGAGTTTAATAATAATTATAACTTGATTCAAAAAATTAAATACTTAGGTATATACTGAAAAATATATTTCACCAGTCCTGAGCTCCACAACTTGTTCGCGTTAACTTTCGAAATATGTTATTCCTTTAGGAAATTTTGGATTTTATATCTTTTAGTGGCAGTGGTTTTTAAATGTTAGAAATTGATAGTCTTAACCCAAGATCACCATGTTATGTTCAAATTTTTTTATCATAAGGGGTTGTTTAGCTGGTAAGCGCACACTTAGTTTTTTGAAGGGATTGGGTTTAGAAAAATATTGTTATATTTGGTATAGTATGTATTTTATTAACTCTTCTAGTGCAACCGACACTTTTCTCCAATTTCTTTTTTATTTCTCCGAACCATTTTCCCTATGCAGTCAATGCCATATCATCGGCACAAATAAAGTGTCACGTTTCAGGATAACTCAGTAAGTCATTTGTATTATATAGATGGTATAAAGAAGGGGTTTCTATATGCTTACCGATGTAGACTGTTATTATCTTCTATAACATTGCAAAATGCTGATCTGACTTACAAATATCAGTGGCTGAAATTTTGTCACTTGTAATATTCATTTCAATTCACTTACACGACAGGCAAAAATAAATGTATGGGTTACAAATTACGAGTAGGTATATTTATTTAATCCAAAGATACCACGATATCTACGAAGTACATACGAATACAATAGTTTTCGACGAGAACGGAGCGAATTACGTTTATATATTTTTTATAAATTACTCAAATACGGAACAACGTGAGAGATGCCCAACAACGCTGATATGCCAGCAATCACAAAATAAGCAGTAGCTGAAAGGGTCCATCATACAGTACAGAACCTATTTTCGTACGATGTATTAAACAAATTCGAAAGATGGTTAATAAGGTTAGAAAGCGCATTTAAAGTATTTGGTATTGCACAAGGTAAGCCAGCAGCTTACTTATTACATTACATGGGACCAGAAGCTTATGATATACTATGTGATAAGTTATCTCCCAAACACCGGATACGAAACCATATAATGCCTTAGTAAATATTATGAAAGAGCATGACAACCCAGAAACTCTGGAAATAGCCAAAATTTTTCATTTCCTAGAGTGAAAATGACATGAGGGGTAAAGTCTAAAAGACTACTTAATAGTTCTACACAGATTGTCAATTACTTGCAACTTTGGCGACTACCAAACGAAAGCATGACGAAATCAATTTATATTTGGCCTAAGTAATGAACGTATACACAGTAGATTGTTGTAATAAAAAGAAATCTAACTATCGAAAGGGCCAATGAAGTAGCTTTTATAATAGTATGGAAACATCAGCAAGACATGCTGCACAGTTACATCAATCATATGCAGAGATGATAAATAAAGTAAGTGTGGAAAAGAAGACCAAAAAAATCTGTTAATACCACAGCAAGAAATGTGTCAAGTAGAAATCATGTTAGTAAACACTTAACTGTTTTAGGTTTGGGTCGGAGCAACACTTAAAAAATAAATGCTCCAAGAAAGATTTACAATGCAATAATTCTAAGAGAAAGGGACATTTAAGAAAGGTCTGCATGAAGAGGAATAGGAATGAGGTAGAAGGTCAATTTGATAAAAATTTTATACATTTTAAGTGAACAGTCTCCATGCAGAGAAAAATTTATCATCAAGTTACAAATAAAAACTATAAATTGAAATTTTGAAGGGGACATTAATAAATAATAAAGATTATCAACTTAATTTTTCAGACTTATAGTTATACAATACAAATTTAAAATTAGTTTTATATGAAGGTCAGGTCATTGAAAACTTACTTAAGGAAATATAGGGTGTATCGTGTATCGAGTGTATAGATATGTGGAGAGTTTAATGCCGGACAACAGCAAGGTTTTCCAGCTATAAATTTAATTTAAATTCCACAAGCATTAGAACTTAATGTTGTACATTTAAAAAGAAAGAGAAACAACAACTGCATGTGGCGGAAATGAGAATGCTTATATGGATTATTGAAGTGACAACATAAAAGCATAAAATAAAGAATACATTAGGGAAGTCTAGGGGTGAGGTAAAGAACGTAGGTTAAGAAAGTAAGTGCATTTTCAACATCGAGACGTTAATCACCCAATAAAAATTGCTGATTGTCGAGGCTTAGTGGAACTATGGTGGGACGTCGGCCAATGAGAAGACTAAGGAAGAGGTGAATAGACGAAGTGAGAACTGATGCTAAAGAGGTATTAAGGGTGGATAACCGAAGGAGAGCAGAAAAGGAAAGGTATGCTTATGATAGTTTCATATAATTTTTGTTTCAGTTTGAATGCTTCCTGTCACACAACACACCACTCGCTTCCTTCTAGCTCGTCCATCTCACCATAATTCTAATAAGGGAATGGGAGGAAATTCTACGCGACACTATAATAAGAAGGTGCAGTATATCAGTGCTCCGAAATTGGCTGGATAAATAATGCTGTTTTACGCCCCTTTAAATATCAAGTCCATTCTAATCCAAAGTCCCCTGTTTTATTAATACTCAACAATCGCATCATTCATATTTCACTAGAGATAGATTCATTATGTAAAGCTAATTCAATTCACCTCATATCCATACCTCCGCATACTTCCCGAAGTACACCCACTCGACCTTTCATGATTTAGCTCTCCTTAGGGAGCCTGTAATAAAGAATGAGAATTATATCTTAGAGCACATCTGCATCAGAGAATAACAAACTTTCAGTTAGCTGAGATTTTTAACAAAGCCTACCTAAAAGTTGCTACAATAAGGAAAGGGATTGCTGGCTTTAGATCTGCTGATTTTTATCCTTTCGGCCCAGATAAACTTAAAGATGAAGGATTTTTGCATACTCAACAGTTTCTATGAGTCGTAGAAACTGAACTAGAAGAACATGGAGCATCTGATATCGAGAAAATGGATGATCCGGTTACTAATGAAAAGGGCAACATTACTCCACAGGCAGTGCCACAAGTAAATTTTGAAATAGATCCAATTCCTGTAGCATCAAGCCAATGTTTCGTTTTTTGATTCATTCTCACTACCAAAGTCCAAACAATCTCAAAAAAAAAACTAGGACGTGTACAAAGTAATAATTTAAAATCCTGGGAACCACACCGATGAAGAATATTCTTAAAGAAGCTGACTTTAAGAGAAAAGAGAAGAAGGTAGCTGCTACAAAAAGAAAAAATGTTTGACAAGGAGGCCAAAAATTAACCGATGTTAAGATTAAATTTCAAGAAAGTGCTGAACATCTGTCTGATTTG